AATTTGAAAAATATTTAAATGTAAAATTCTTCCTTGATTATGTTGTATGATAAAGCATGACCTCATTAAAAATTTAAGCTGGTGCCTAATAGAGCCGGAATGTAGTGCTATTTCATTTGACACATATTGTGCCCTTGTATATTAAGAGAGAGTAATTTCACAATGTTCTTGCTTATACTCAGGATTTTATTATATAAATATGAAAGTAATGTCACTATTTCTGTAGTCTTTGTCAGCTGGTTTATTTTGTTTAACAAATGGAATTAAAAAGTCATACTGAACAATTGTGCAAAACACAATTTCAAGTGATTTAAGATAGAAAATAGCAAGGAATGCACAGCATATGGTTATGTTGGATAATAACTCTTAGTGTTGATGCTAGCTGACAGAACAGGATGCATATTGTCCAAGCATAATCATATTGTGTGAATTAGTCACCCTAAATTTTTTAATGAGTATTTATCAATGTATGCCAGATTTAAGGATTTCAGAATCTTACTAGAAGTGGGAAATCAACAAAGTTCTAAAAATATTCCTGAAAAATGCATTTACATTTACCAGTAAAAAGGTAAAATGGGAGTACAATTCTGCACCTCAGTACTGCTAACACAGGCCAATTTTAGCTATTATCCCTGTGAGCACTCAACATAAGTTTCAGTATGTTTTCAATTTTCTAGTTTCCTGTGTTTCAAAAGGATGGAAGTTTTTATTATTGGGAATCCAAAACTGTACAACATGAACCAGTTTGAAAGCAGAGTTAAAAAAGAGAAAAAGAAACTAAGTGCATTAGTTTCAGATAATTTTAAATTGTAATATCAAAGAAGATGACCAAAGTATTAGAGTTTTCTAGTCAATCTGATATTTTTAAAACTCTTAAGAAGATTTAAATAACTACATCAAAAGGTAGAAAAAACAGGAGAAAAGTCCTTTGTGATGTGAAAAACAGAAATGCTATCATGTTGTGGATGAAAAGGAGCCACATGCTAACATGCCTAGCTCAGGGAAGGCCTGCATGTCGGCCTTGCAAACTCAGAGATCTAAAGTAACCGCAAAGAATGGTCTGAAATTAAAACTTTAAACTACAAGCAGTTTATGGTTGGTAATCATGTCCTAGGCCGGTATCTTTCCTGACAAAGGTCAATCTTTATCTGTCTATTGTCTTTTGTATCTAGGATAACATTCCTTTGGAATGTCAGGGTAATTCCCCTTTTCTAGACCCCACCAGTGCACCAGGGCTGAAACCATAAATCCTCTCACTGTTTTATCATGTTAATTGTTGACTGTTAACTATCCTGTACCCACCTACGTAAAAGATGTATGTATCTATCATTTTACTTTTCATCCAATCCCAGAAGTTTCCCCACTTTGCTTTCTCCCACCTCCCTAATTTATCACCAGTGAATTTAATGTAACCCACTTGTATCCTCAATGTAACCCACTTGCATCCTCTCTTTTGATTGTAATGTATAAAATAAGGTGCAAAGCTGCCATTCTCCAGAGCATTATCTCAATCCATTGAGATTTTGCTTCCCAGCAATTGTCAAAAGTTTGTCTCAAATAAACTCACAAAAATTCTTCACAGGTTTGTTTCTTACATTAACACTACATACAAAGAAAGGCTAAATTTTTAACCAAGGCCACACTACCACCTTGTTCTGGCCTCTGAGCCGCCCTCATCCTCATTTCACTTCCTTCCTTCCTTCCTTCCTTTCTTCCTTCCTTCCTTCCTTCCTTCCTTCCTTCCTTCCTTCCTTCCTTCCTTCCTTCCTTCCGGCTCCCTTCACTCCCATCACTCACATATTTCACCTGAGGGCACACTCACAGGCCTTTCCTCTACTTAAACACTCTGCTCTCTAAACTGGACTAAACTCCTCTTTATCCTTCAGATTAGAGAGCAAATGAGGATTCCTCAAGCCATATCCCCTTCCCTATGTTTCCTCTAAATTCAAAAATCCTTCAAAATGTTTCAAATATATATCTTTGTAATGATATAACTAATGCTTGCCTTCACTCAGACGGACCAAGCTTTATGAGATCTGGGACTGTGATAGTTTACTCATCAATGCTCCCCAAGTGCTCAGCATGCAAGCATTCTGTAATGAACGATAAATGAATGAATGAATAAATGAGCAAGGGAAAGCCATAGTCAGATTTTTTTTTTGTTCTCAACAAACAGCAGTATCTACTGTGCATATCCTTAGTCACTATAAAATCATGTGGGGAGTCTTAGGATGCATGCAACCTCTATTGAGAGGAAGAGGATACAAAAGAAATAAGATTGTGAGAGTCTGACAAAAATGTTTCACATCCAGTATATGCCTACAATTAAAAACAAGTAATGAAGTCAGGCTTTCCAGGTAAATTAATTGGGATATAATGGTGAATAAGCCATGGTAATATGAACTATAAACACAAAACTTTCTGTGCAATCTTCATGAATTTTGATTGCTAATAAATAACAAACATGTGGTTTTTTGCTAATTTGTGTTTATGTTTGGAAAGTGGTAAATTGATCAAAGTATAATAGAGTTAGGGGCCAGTATCTTTTCACCCCTAAGTAGCAACCTACCCACATCTAGGAGGCTACAGCTAAAGCACAATAATCTAACTGATAGACATATTGTTGATGAGAAATTATCAGAAAAGGTGTTTAGGAAGGTAGAAATAGGTAGTATTTAAATTTAACAACATAAGATAAAGGTTCATCATCAGTGCTTGAGCCTGAAGGAACACAATGATATAACTAGCAGGCAATTAAAAAAGCTAATATGGTTTATATCGACCTTGTAAGTAAAGTACACAAAGTATTGACATGATCATCTAAACATGGAAAAGAAACACACTGCCTTTAGCAAAAAGCCTAAATGAAACATTTAGTCTTTCATTCTCCCATCATTGTACCATGCATATAAAAAACCTGTTTAAGCAATATATGTATTCAGAAAATGTAGTAACCTCAAAACCTTATATTTAGTTCACACATTGAACAGAAAGACTTAAGATACAGCTCTCCAACATAAAAACAATATACTTCATTCTTTCTCAAGATCCTGTAATCTTTATTAGACAAAACAATTAGACTAAAAGGTCCATGAGGACAGGATTATGTCTATTTCCTACTCTCCTGAACCATCAGCATCCAATATTATACCTGGCACATAACTGATATTCATTACTTATTTGCTTACCACTTGACTGAATGAAGTACAGTCTGAATATTTCAAAGTATAATTTTTCCCCTATATTAACCTATAGGACTAGTTTGCTTACTCTAATGTTTTCAAATTGGAACTATTTTTGATTCATTACTTAAGAGATAATACAATACTATGAACTCTATGGAGCTAATTAATAAATTTACATAATAAACAACCAGTAAGAGTAGTGCACACTGGTTTTTTACATATATTGTCTGAAGACATAAGGGACCCACCATAGTATGCAAATGGCATTTTCAAGTACTAGTATATCAGGCCAATTGTAGAGAGAATAAGTCCCCAATGATAAACAGACAAACAAAATAATTCCACTATTAACTGTAAAATTCTTATTTCTATGCAAGAAACTCTTTTTGGTCAGGCTGTCAGTTTCCTAAGGCATGGACTTCATGTGCTTATATGGCATCCTCATGGTCTATACAGAATTCTAAAACTTTTTACTCTCAGGACTCCGTTACACTTTTAAAAGTTTTTGAGGACTCCAAGAATTTTTGTTTATATAGACTATCCAAAATTAACACTGAGAAAAATTTGAAATCTTTATTAATTCATTTAAAAATAAAAATAAATCCAGAATATGATAACACAATATAGTCTTTATTAAAAAATTATTGTATTTCCCAAAGGAAAAAAATCCTGTATGGTCAATGTTTTAACACTTTTACAAATCTGTTTGATGGGTGGCTTGATTAAAAACTATGGAATTCTCATTGGCTTCTGCATTCAATCACAGGGACATGTTATTTCAGTTGAAATACATGAAGAAAATCTGGCCTCACACAGGTATAGAACTCAAGAAGAGACACCGTGTGGATCACCACAAATGCCTTGGGAACGCTCCGGGTCCTCATCATTCCACACTTTGAAAACCACTGGTGTGTAATATCATGTCATATAACTATTGTTGAATAACCATTTGCCAAATTAATGAAAAGTTTAAAGAAAAAGAATTAAATTTTTAGGCATACATAAAATATGCATCTTTGTTTTTTGTTTTGTTTATAAAATATATTTTCACTGATTTTAGAGAGGAAGGGAGAAGGGAGAGAGAGAGAAAAACCTCAATGATGAGAGACAATCACCGATCAGCTGCCTCCTACACGCCCCACACTGGGGACCAAGCCCGCCCGCCACCCGGGCCTGTGCCCTAACCAGGAATCAAACTGCGACCTCCTAGACTGCACCTTTGTTTTTTTATTCAACTGATAAAATTCCTTATAAATGCTGACTGTTTTGCTGCAATAAAATATTTATTAATTCAACTTCTCAATTCATTACAACTAAATTAGGATGCAGATTAAAGGGAGGGTAGTCAAAACTAAAGAATAAACTATAAAAATAAAAAATGTGTCTAAATTTAAAAGAAATAAATAGATGACTAGAAAGACATTTTACATAAAAAAATTGTAAGCATAACCAAATCAAGTGGTTACTTTGAATGCTGTGTGGGTCTCTTTAAAGCAGTAAATTAGATTGAAATACTTTATTAAATGCAAACTGGATTCTATTATTTTTAGTATCTTATATGCCATTTCTAATTAATCTATAAAAACCCCAAGAAAAACTTTTTGCTAATATTTTTGACACTCCTGACTTAAATATTAATAGGAATTAACTGAATACCAGGGAAAATATATGGACTTAAACATTTTACAATTTCCAAAACCATAATTTTTGTTCATTAAAAATAGCCTTAAATTCAGAAATTAAAATACAATTTTAGACTAGATATTAGATTTTTCAATGTCATCTCACTATTTTGCAAAGAATAATATGACTTACTTTTCCTTTTCTTCAGGCTGATGTTCCTGAGAAGCCATTTTAGGTTCTGTCCCGAGATTTTTTCCCATCCGCTGCCTCCGCTTTCTACTTGGTGCAATATCAGTGACATCAGGACTTGAAAGAATGGAATCGTCTCTTCTTAAAGTAGCTAAAATAAAATGACATAAAAAATGTGATCCAACAAAATTCTGCATATAATCTGTAAGTAAAGAATCAACTTGCTGCTTTAGCACAGATATAAAGTGACACAAAGTATAGCAAAACTATTTTTAACAAACTATACAGATTTGAAGTGAACCAGTTACACAGTGTGTTATACTTTAATACTAATATAAAATATAAGGTATATTGTATACATGGCATAATTGGGGCAAAATGGTCTTTGCCTATCTTGGGCAACAATCTTTCCAATACATTATAGGCAGTTTGGTCACTCAGTGCTGGGACTAGATAGAAGCACCCCAAAGGCACCTCTAAAAGGTATCTGGATGGAAAAATAATGCCACAGGAATAATAGAAATCAAATTGACACTAAACAGCACTCACCAGCAGGAATGGGAAATTCTAATAGTGATCCAGGGATACTTACACAGATTTTTCCACTAACTGTGAGCAGTGAACACAAGAGAAATGTAAAAAAAAAAAAAATACTAATAGATGTCTCTAATGTAGCCAAACCATTAAATTGCCTCTAAAAGTGTTTAATACACATGAAACAGAAGCAACAATAGAAACATACTGGATTCATATTCCCTTATTCTCTTACAAACAACTTCGTTATAAAGAACCTTAGGGGAGTTTAGAATTCTTTCATCTAATACACAGCATATTCTGTTCTAATACATATTTCTATTAAAAAAGAGCTCCTTGCTATTGGTAAATAATATCAATATAATTTGAACTTTGGATGTCCTGCCAGTTCATATGCTTTTTTTCTAGCATGTTAATTGTTTATAGTGATCAGGGACAAGCTTTCATCCCAAATAGAGAAAGACTTAGCAATGTATAGAGGTGTAAGAAACTGAAGAAAAGTGGCTAAAAATCTTGTGCAAGTCCATTGCTTTAGCATAAATAGGGGCAGGCCTAGTGAAGCTAAGAATCCTACACTTTTCATCAGTTTAGCTCTATGCTAAGCTGCAATTACAGCTGAACAAGCTGTGAAGACTTTTCTCCCTGTATCTTGAGTCAGATACTTAATTTTGATGGAACTACTGGAATCAAATGCATCAAGAACTCTCATCTCCATTTAAGAGAAAGTGTGATGGAAGGGGTTAGCTGACTGTGATGCTGGGTGCAAATGTTGCTAAATAATTAATGGAGTTAATATTTTTATTAGGATTGTAACTAGAGAACTAACAACAACCTAAAACAATAGATTTTGTGTGGCCTGCCAAAATCTTAAAATTTCCCCCATGATTTTTATTACTTATGGTATATAGTACTGCAGAAGGAGTGGATTTTAAGGCACAAGTTTATCACATTCCAGAAGAAAACACTGTATTCTGAGTTCTCGCTGTGCAGTCATGCTTCTCTGAGTGACCTGAGATAACTTGGACACAGTTGACCAATCTATTGAAACTCTTCTTTTTAAAAAAATTTTTCTTAAAATAGATACCATTTTTGAAAACATATGCTGGTTACTTTGCTGTAGGTTTTATATCTGTTATCTTATTAATATTTAACTTTTTGAAGTACTTACTACCTTCACTTATTAGGAAACCAAGTTAGTTAAGTAACTTGCCCAAATCATACAGCCTTTGTTTTTATAATTTATCATATGACAACTTAAAAGTTTTTCTCCCTAGTGGGTAAATTAGTCTTTGATCAAATATTAATTGAATGCCCATCAAAGCATATTTTAGTTTCCAAAGCTGTTTAAGTTATCAGGACACATAAGTTCCACTATATTTCTTGCGCATTACTTTTATTATCCCTGAAAAATATTTTTGGAGTAAAGAAGGATAAATTTAAGAAGGGTATTCCTCTGAACACATTAAAACTGAATGATTTCCTTACTTTTATTAAGCTAGGATGTGACTAAGGAAGAAAACTGCAGTTTACTGATTTCTTACCCAGTCCGCTCTCACCTAGGATTGTTTACTCAGTCACATAAGCAATCAACAGAGTACAGCTTGTCTATGAACAAAACCAGCAACACTGTCTGAGTTAGAGGAAGTTTCAATTATAGATAGTCTTGAAAAGTGGAGCAAGACTGCATTTGATGGCATGTTGGACATCAAGGAGGAAAGACTATTCAGTTTAAATTAAAATGTATGGTAAATTAAAAAAAAAATAAAGTCACCCAAAACTTCTGCCACTCATTTCAAAAACTCTAAACAATGGCTTACACATTGGCATCCAAAAGGATGTGTTATACGTGATATGGTTATATTATTTGTTGTAACATCTACAATTTACTTTAAAATACAATATTTACATGCGTATGTTAGGCAAAGTGAGCTATAACCCAGGTGTGGCTAGCATCTGATACTCAAAAATACAGACCAGAAGCAGTTGTTGGTATTTGGATAACAATTCCCATCTCTTAAAGAGGCTACTAGAGGCTCTGTGTGCTCTGCATCTCAATCAACACCTGATGATTTACTAATCAGTATACTGAGTGACAGAAATGTGTGAGCCGCCTGGTGAACACAGGGCAGGAAAACAAGCATGATGAATACTGCTTATGAGTGAAGTTAAAGGCATTCTAGATATACAGATTGGCTAAAATATTTCAGAGATCATCTCCACCATTTCATGAACAGGGTCTAAGCACCCTGTGAGGTCTGTTTACTCTTAGAGGTGATGCCCTGTGCTAAATCTTAAAGTGGTTTGGTGTCTAGTTATGAACTCTGGACAATTGCCGTTGCCTGAAGCCAGGGAAAACTGCCTGATAATTCATTATCCTGCCTTCAGAATAAACATTTTATAGGAGGGAGTGATTGGGACACTTAAAATTTCTTTAAGCTTTAGGGCAGGGTGGTGAATTATTTTGTGCTTACTTGCTAGTAAGTATTTAGTTGGTAATTGTCTGTATGATGGGAGAACAACCTGATAATTCATTATCCCACCCTTCACATTTCTTGGTGTCCACCATTATTTGCCACAAAGAATCACAAGTTGTGTGTAACCAAGTGTTTCAAGTCAGTTCAATAGCACCATTTTTTCCCATTCTCCTGACAAAGGTTCCCTTTCGAGTCTTGTAGCCACTGTCATGAGCGAAAGGGGCTAGCACACAAGCCAATTACTTTTGAAACTGAATATGTCCTTTTTGGTTTGTGTTTGCACCATGGGAAGCAGTTTTCCGTTTAGTTTATTATATACATGTACGAGCAAGCTGTAATATATCTTAATTTACATATTAATTTAAAATAAAGATTTCATAACATTTATATCATCTTTAATAAAAGGGAAAATGTTCCATCCTATATTTTCCTCTCCACCCCCTGCAATGCCAGAAACCAGGAGAAAGAGGCTCTATTCCAATACCTGGTACCTAAGTATTAAATTGCTCATTGCAAACAGTCTTCAAATTTGAACCCATCCTACCTCTGTCCTCTACCTGTGCTAATGTTTAGTCCTCTTCTTACATTTGGTCTCAATGCTGATGCTTTATGTCTATTCTGACATTGGATCCCTTCAACAATGACTCTGAGTTTCCAAACAAGCAAAGCTGTTTTATATACAACAGAAGGGATCTGATCCACATCTATAAGAGGTCAAAATGTCTATTATTATTTCACAACCTTACATAAATTGGAAGTTTTCAAATCTAGGCAGAAGTGTATACGTTTGCTATGGACTGGGAAACTTTTTCTGAGATTCCACCTCCAGAATTCTGTCTTTAGTATTCACCAGTCTCTGTCATGACAATGTGTCTTGCACCATTTCCAGGAATTTTTGAAAAAAGGAAAACAAAAGAAAAAAATGATTGCCAATTAACTTACTACAGCAGAAACACTCATTGGCAGAGCTGTGGGATGAATTTCAAGTTCTCATTAGGTTCACTGAACCTAGAAAATGGGGCTCTTTACAGAAGCCTTGCTATTGTGAGAGGTGGCTCCACAGAAAGCCACACTTCTTCCCATCTGACAGAAGAACTGCAGGAGCTTGGCAGCCGGAGTTCAGGCAGGATGGACGGAGGGCTGGCTCCCCGGGTACTCTCAGTGTCCAAAGGAAATGACTGTCAGCTAAACTGCTGGCGACCTGCATAACTGCCATGAGTTAAACTACCTGGTAAACTTAAGTCTCTGACCATTAAGCCCTTCAATCTCAGTATTTTTTAAGACATTTTCCAGGTTTATAATTTGTTTTATCAGGGTCTCCTTATTATCTCCTCTCTATGGAGTTTCCCCCTCTTCATATGACATATAGCTTGACACACCAATTCTGTAAAACTCTAAGAGAGATTGCCACACTTCATTCCATCTCCCCCCGCTCAAACACACACACACCTCTCTCCAGCCCCTGAACAAAACAAAAAGTTAATGTCCTGAGGCATGTTATTCATGGCAATGGCTACTTAGCTCTTTGGTTAAATTATTGAATAAAAGAGGCCCTGATCTTTAGGTCCTTTGTTCATGAAAAAAATAAATGTATGCTGTTTGCAATAGGCCATATGCAAACAAAAAACTTTCAGTGCTTCCAATGCCTATAAAATAAAGCCCTAAGATCCTAGCCCTGCATTCAAATCCCCCTACAATGTGATGGTCACCTACCTCTCTAGCCATACTTCCCACAAATCTTCTAACCACAATATGCAAATTATTTCAAGGGCCCCAGGGTTCCACATCTTCCTTTTTGTTCCTTACTTTCTCTGTCTTGAATGTCCTCTACTCCTCTATAGGCTCACTGAGTGTTCCCTCCCAGCACAGCCCAGTTCAGTCACTTCAGTCAGCTCGAGTAGTTCTAACCCACAGCAATGTCTCCTTTCTCTGTGTGGCTTATAGTTGAACCACTCATTTTATCTCGTATAGTTATTCTTTGTAAGTATACCTTCTGTTTCTCCAATTAGATTACAAACACCCTACAGCTAGAGGGCATGCTTTATACTTTGATATGTTCCTAGCATTACTCCATGGTGTTATACATGAGAAAATGGAGACTTGAACTCTTATTTTCAAATGTGTGTCATATTTTTAAATCAAA